AATGTTCTTTTTTTCTTGCTAAATTTACTAGATACTTATTTTGAGTATTAAGAAGTATGAAAAAAAATTAAATTATAAAGATAAAAGGCCTAGATAGTTAAAATAACTTCCAAGACAGTTATTACAAGAAAAAATATTACTTACATTAATCTTTGTAAAACTTTAAGATTTATCATTGACTTCATATATTTTCTTTAACTTTGTTATGGGAAAAGCAAAATTTAGAATCACAGACTTTCAAATTTTGGAGGAACTGAATGAATTAAAGAAGTTGTTACTAATAAAAATTCATTAGACATATTACATAAAATAAATTATATTACATTAACCATTACATAAAACGAACTATAGCCAAAACCGTTGTTCTATTTTTTTAAAACCGAAGACAAAAATAAAAATGAACTTTAGAGTTAAATACATTTAATCAAATAAAATTTCTTTAATTTAAAACAAAATTAGATACAAAAACTACAAACACATTAATTCTAGATTCCTAAATGCATATTTAAATAATAGCAATATGAGTTTTTGAAATACAAAACAAAAATGTAACATAATATTACCAAATACAAACATGTATTTGACCAAAACATATATATCAACTGACACTTGATGTAGTTGACACTCCTAAAAAAAAAATCTTAATTAACAAGTGAATAATATTTATGGAAAAGTAAAAAATATTCTTACAAGTGTATTTTTTTAGCATTAGCATTTTCTATTTATTTATTTTTAATTTTTCTGTTAAACTTTAAATTGTATTTAATTGATGTTTCACACTACCTATTTCTAAATTTTAACTAATACTACAAATTCTACTAATTTTAACTAATAATAACTAATAATTCTAAATTTTAACTAATTCTAATAATTTTAAATTTTAGCAAAACTCATTTTTATTTTATTTATTGACATATATTTTGTATTTTTACTATTAAAACTGACGCTATAAGTAAGGATTTTAAGGAGACATTTTTCTATTATTTAAAAAGATTTGGTCACGAAAGTCAATTTTTTGAAAGAAAAATTAGCAGAATTAAGGAGAAAATAACTTCATTGAAAACAGAATCTTATTTTTTTCAATAAATTTTAAATAAAAACAGAAAAATTATTACAAACTAACACATACTTATATATATATTATATATATATATATATATATATATATATATATATATATATATATATATATATATATATATATATATATATATATATATATATATATATATATATATATTTATATATATATATATGTATATATATATATATATACACAACCCTTGGAATTAGGGTCGGCATGCAGCAATGCCAACCTAAAAGTGTTTGAGGTCGTCAAATAATGCTGATCTTGTTTCTATGTTTAATGGTAAGACTTTTGAATCACTTTTATATATATATATACCCAACGGGCATTTGTTTTTAAAAGTTACGATCTTAATGTATTTTAAATATCTTTTAAACGTCTTTTAAACATTATTGTTTAAAAGACGTTTAAAACACATTTAGAACGAAACTTATAAAAACAAATGCCCGTCGGGTATATAACTATATATATATATATATATATATATATATATATATATATATATATATATATATATATATATATATATATATATATATATATATATATATATATATATATATATTATATATATATATATATATATATATATATATATATATATATATATATATATATATATATATATATATATATATATATACAATGGAAATATAGGTTTGCAATCAATCAAAGGACTATATAATTTCTTTATTAATAAGTATAATCCATTCACTTAAATAAAATTTCCTTGATGATAAAAAAAAGAGGAGAAATTAAGGAGTGTTTCTCATCGGTTACTTAGTAAATTGCCAATAACATTCCAACACGTGGTAAAGTGGTTATTCATATGTTAGGCACTTTTGGCTGCTGCCACTAATAAGCCATTAAGTAAACGATGACCAAAACTGCAATGACCTAAAATGCCTATCTAGCTCCACTGAAATTCTAATTTAAATGTTTTTGCTGTGATATATATTTTTTTACTAAATACTAAAACTAAAACCATAAATTTTCAAAATATCATTATAAAAAAGCATTTCAAAAAAATGTTAAATCAATTCCATCTTTAAATATATTTTTCTTATTCTTAGTTAAGTTGGATAAGTTACTACCCGACGGGCGTTTCTTTTGAAAAGTTACGATCTAAATGTATTTTAAATGTCTTTCAAACGTCTTTAAAACATTAATGTTTAAAAGACGTTTAAAAGACATTTAAAACACATTTAGAACGTAACTTTTAAAAACAAATACCCGTCGGGTAAAATATAAATTCTATCAAATAATAAATAAAAATATTGATTTTAATTAAAGTTATTCATATCGAACTTTTAAAGAATGATAAAAGAGAAAATTTATTTACATATATCTTCTAAAAGATACTTTTAGATAATCAAATAATAAAAGAGTAGGATTAGTCACTACAAAATGTCTAATTAAAAAAATTAAACAAGTAATACAGTTATATAAAAGACAGGTGGGTTGAAAATTTCTTTTAGAGTAAAGGAAATTTTCTACCCTCTTTTCTCTTATATAAGTGTTACGACTGATTTAATTTTTTCAATTAGACTTATTTTTTAGTCAAAACTTTTATACTTCACTAATAACTTATTACTAAAGTTAAGTAATTGGTTATTAGCGAAGTTCCAAAAGTTAATATTGTAATATTTCAAAAAGTTCATTAACTAATGTACTGGTCCAATTATTTCGAATAGAACAATCTAAAAGTTGTTAATTAAAGATATTGATTTATATTGAATTATCAGCATAAACTCTCTGTATTATTAATAGGTTTTCTTTTTGAAAAATATGACTATGCATGAGATTCTGCGATGTCTAAGTCTTTCAAACAGTCAGAACTTGGTTCTTGATATAGTATATACTTAATGTATTTATATATATATATATATATATTTTGTTTTATTTGAGTTTTCATGCTATATTTTTCTATACAATGTTCTTATATCCGAAGATATTGTTGGCTTAGCATAGGAACAGCCACAAATAGTCATTAAGACTAATCCAAAGTAGCGTCCGTTATTGACCAACATTTTTGCGTACCGAAGTACTAATCGAGCGCTGAGTTGGCGGTGGCGGGATTTGAAATCTTGTCGTTCAACAGTCCGGGTTTTAACTTTTCTTTTGACACTCTAACCATCTGCGCTATCCCGCCACGGGATATATATATATAGTATATCATATACCCAGTTTTTAACTATTTATTTCAATATCTGTATTAATTTTAATATATGTATCAATATTAATACGATTCTCAAGTAATTAAATGTTTAGAAATATATATATAAATTAGCGAGAACCTTTCTATAAGTCGCTTTTCATAAGGTGTTTTTAAAATTTTCCTTGAATCTTTGGGAAGTTCCAAACCTTGATTTGGCAATATTTCAAGAAGATCATTAACTAATGTACTGGTTCCATTTTTGAATAGCTCAATGTTGTCGAGTAAAGACATTGAATTCAAAGAATTATCAGGATAATTGTTCCATGTATCATTAACAGGTTTTCCTATTGAAAACTTCGATTCTGCATGAGATGTCTAAATCTTTGAATTTGTTAGAGCTTGGTTCTTGATATAGCAATACTATACTAGTAGTATATCAAGTATATATATACATTGTATAGCATATATTCAGTTTTAAACCGTTTCTTTCATTATCTGTAAAAATTTCATCACCTGTATCAATATTACCACAATTTTCAAGTAATTGATAACAAAAACAAAAATAAGATGGAACATGTCTATTAGTCATTGTAAAAAGACTTCTTTTGTAATTGAAAAAATACTTTATTAGAAATGCGTTACTTAAAAATTTTAAGAAGTTTTAGCGCTTGCGTGATTAAACTGATTTTTTTTGATTTAATAAAGCATTCTGGATATTTATCGGACGAAAAAATTATTGGACGCGAAAAAGACGTTCAAAAGACGTTTAGAATTTTAATGGGACGGACGGACCCGATTTGAACGTCCTAAGGACGTCTTTTTTTCGTCCCGTGCCCACTGGGTAAAGTTGACAAAATATTTATTAAAAGTGTTAACCTTGCTGTTTAAGTAATAAGTTTTTGCTGTATTAAAAATTTTATTACATTATGGAATAGCTTATTTGAAAATTATTTCCAACACTAACAATCACTTAGTACTTACAAGGGTAACCCATCATTTAATGACTTTCAATAATAACAAAATAAAAAATATTTTTAGTAGCTGGAAATGTAATATATTTAGCTACACGGGTTTTATAAAGCGGTAGTAATATAGTATTAAGTCATGCCAAAAAAAAAAAAAGATGTTATTATAATTGTTCAAAACTAAATATCTTTTATATATGTAAAATAGTAGCTAGTATATATGTAAAATAGTAATTGTCATTATTATTTTAAAATTAAAAAGACAATTATATTATTTTTATTATTCAATCTTTTATTGTTATTTTATTATAAAGTTACTACACCACAAAACTATTAAATATACATAAAGCATTTATTGTACTACTCTAAGAGCTAATTATATACCAATAGTATTTTTAAAAAATTTATGGCTATGAAAATAGCTGTTTTAGTAGGTTCAAGTCATCTCACTTTCTTATTAATGTTCTTGTTCTAAAATAGAAGGTGTTTTTTAATTGATGTTCTTTATATATCAATTTAGTTTGACTTTTTTGAATTTTGAAACTTTCAGGTTATATTTTGCAATGTACAATCTACCCAGTGGGCACAGGACGTAAAAAAGGCGTCCTTTTGACGTTCAATTAGCGTCCGTCCGTTCCATTTAAATTCTAAACGTCTTTTGAACGTCTTTTGAACGTCCAATAAATTTTTCGGCCAAAAAAGATCCAGAATGCTTTATTAAATCAAAATTAATTTAGTTAAATCACGCAATCTTCAAGACATATTTAATTTTGTTAATTAAAAACGCATTTTTAATACAAATGTAGAAGAAACTTTCAAGCGTAAAAGAACTTTCAAATGTAAAGTTACATTTTTTTATGGCATCTCGAAATAATGAATGAAGAGTGACTAATAGACAGGTTTTTGCTAATTTATATATATATATATATATATATATATATATATATATATATATATATACACACACACACACACACACACACATATATATATATATATATATATATATATATATATATATATATATATATATATATATATATATATATATATATATATATATATATATAAAATTTATATTATAAATATATATATGTATATATATATATATATATATATATATATATATATATATATATATATATATATATATATATATATATATATATATATATATATATATATATATATATATTTATATATATATATATATATATATATATATATATATGCAGAATCATTTTTTTCAAAAGTAAAACCTATTAATGATACAGAGAGTTTATCCTGATAATTTACTAGAATTCAATATCTTTAATTAACAACTTTTAGATTGTGCTATTAAAAATAATCAGACCAGTATATTAGTTAATGAATTTCTTGAAATATTAAAAATCCAAGGTTTGAAACTTCGCGAAGATGCAAGAAAAATTTTTGAAAACACCTAACTTTCACTGCATCTTCGAGATTAACAGTAGTTAATCACTGTTCCTAAAAAGTGTGTTCCTAAAAAAATTACTCTTATTTTGAAATACAGGCAAGTATTAAAATCATATTTTTTTTGAATTTTATAATGGTTTACCTTTATTTTAATTCTCTAGTAAACAGCTATGGCCAATATTAGCTAGCTTTGATTATTTTAATATTTTTATGGTTGGCATTTATTGTAGTGAAACCAAGCCTAATTCACTAAATAAATACCTATTTTTTTCTTTGAGTCAAGTCAATAATACAAAATGGTTTTATATACAATAAAAAATTTAAATTAAAACTATATAAAATCTTATAATGGTTACAACTTTTGTGAAAAGTGTTCTGTTCGTGAAACTTATGGAGAAATAATTGTGTTTAATAAATAAATTTTTTATACACCTATCTTATATAAATCAACTGTTACGACTGGTTTATTTTTTTAAATTAAACTCATTTGAATCTTTTCCACACAAAAAAATCACACAAAAGAATAAAGGCATTAGTTGTACCAGACATTCCAAAATCTGTTTTAAATAATCCTTCGAAGATAGATGTAATTAATTTCGCTATTTTATTTTTCGTTCTTTAAAAATTCAAAATAAGTATATATATATATATTTTTTTATAATATTTTCGCAAGATAACGATTGACAGACGACTTAAAAGATTGCAAATTATATCAATCAGGAAAGCAAGATGAAGGAAGCGAATTCCAAAGAACTAATGTTCGAGGAAAAAAACTAGACGAATAAGAGTTTTTGGAACACTTAGGAATAGTAACAGAAAAAGGATGAAACTTAATTGAATGACAAGTAACACAAGAATGAATTTTAGTAGATGGCACAAGAGACGCTAGCTCTTTAGAGCAGTGCCCATTATAGTATTTATAGAAAAGAGAAAGAGAAGCAACATTACGACGATGTGACAGAGGTTGAAGGTTGGCTGCAAGAGCAGGTCCAACTATGTTTACAATGCGTTTTTGCACCTTGTCTAAAAGAGAAAGGACATCATTAGAAGATCCGCCCCAGATATGGCAACAGTATTCCATACAAGGTCGGATTTGAGATTTATAGAGATAGAGAATAGAATCCAGAGTAAGAAAGTGTCTAGCTAGATAAAGAGATGCAACTTTAGCAGATGCTAATTTTGCAACGGATTTGATATAAGGTTTCCAAGAAAGATGAGAAGTGAGATTTAATCCTAGAAGATGAAGGATAGATAACTCATCAAGTACATTACCGTTCATAAATAAAGGAAGGTCTAAATTATTGCGATAATGATTGGCTGAAAAAAATTGAGTTTTATTTGAATTCAAGTTCACCAGCCACTGTGAGCCCCATGCTGCAGCAGAAGTGAGATCCTACATTTACACTACGATTGGAAAGAAAGGATTCAATAATCTTAAAGACGTTTCCAGATACATCATAAGAAGAAAGCTTATGGAGAAGACCAGCATACCAAACTTTATCAAACGCTTTAGAAATGTCAAGAGCAATGGCCTTAATCTCTCTACCTTTATCTAATGCACGATAAAACCTATCGGTTTTTGCTGTTAGCAAATCAGCAGTAGAACGAGAAGATCAAAATCCATATTTATGATCAGAAAGTAGGTTATGAGGCTCAAGATGAGAGATTAAGTGTTTGTTAATTAAAGTATCAAAAACCTTGTTTATGATTGGAAGAAGACTAATGGGACAATAGTTAGACGAATCAGATCGCTCTCCAGAATTTTTGAAAACAGAGATAACAGATGCTGCTTTCCAGCAGGCTGGGAAACAAGACTCTGAAAAGCACTTGTTAAATAGTTTTGAAAGTATAGACGACAGCTCTGGAGAACACTTCTGCAAGTCTTTAGCAGGTATATTGTGCGGGCCGCAAGCTGTAGAAGAGTCTAAGCAGGAAATCACTTTAGATACAGAAGCTGGAGTGATATGGATGTCAAGCAATGGATCAACCTGTTTGATGGCTATATCAGGTAGAACGCAACTAGTGGAGTCAAGAAATGATATTGATGAAAAGTTCTTAGCAAACAACTCAGCTTTTTCTTTAGGTGAGGTGACAAAGTCTGAACTTGATAAATAATTATAATTAAAATCAATATTTATATTTATTATTTGATAAAATTTGTTTATTAGTAATTTATTTAACTTCAAATAAGAATGAGAAAAATGTATTTAAAGATGGAAAAGAGATGATATTTTTTTCTATTTGAATGAATTTTCGACTATTTATGGTTTTTAGTTTTAACATTTAGTAAAAAATATATATAACACAGCAAACATTTAAAGAGGAATTTCAGTGAGGCTATATAGGCTTTGTAGGTGGTTGCAGTTTTGGTCATCATATACTTAATGGACCATTAGTGGCAGCAGCCAAAAGTGGATAACAGGAGTAACCACTATATCACTTGTTGGAATGTTATCGGCTGGCCACTTTAGTAATTTACTAAGTAAAGGATAAGTTAAACTCCATTTAACTGCTCAGAATGCTTTTATAGGTCCACTGAAAATCTACTACAACAATGTTTGCTGATAAAGTTTCAATATGTTATTTGATTATTGTAGTATATATTCAGGGTTCCCAAAGGATATTTAAGGTTTTTATTGGGTTCCCAATAAAAACCTTAAATATCCTTGGAAAAAAAAAAAGATATCCTTAAAAGTCTTTAAATAATCTATAAAAAAATAAAATTTGACTGTTCTCCTAATTTACTTTTCTATAAATTTTTGTTTTTTTAATTAAAAATTTATTTATAAAAATATATAATATATATGTATTGGTCACAATAACTTCTATTATGTATGTAGTTCTTTATTTTTGAGTTGAATTTTATACAATATTTCAAGGGAGTTGTCAAGTATATAGTTTATATGAGTATATATATATATATATATATATATATATATTATATATATATATATATATATATATATATATATATATATATATATATATATATATATATATATATATATATATATATATATATATATATATATATATGTATATATATATATATATATATATATATATATATATATAGTATATATAAGTATGGTATAGTATAAATAGTTTATTTTATGTAATATGCTTAATGAATTTTTATAAGTAACAACTTCTTTAATTCATTCAGATCCTTCGAATTAGATAGTCTGTGATTCAAAATTATGATAAAGTCAATGATAAATCTTTAAGTTTTACATAGGTTAATGTAAGTATTATTTTTTCTTGTAATAATTATCTTTAAAGTTATTTTAATTATATAGGTTTTTTTTCTTTTTAAACTTATTTGTTTAATACTCCACAATACTCAAAACTGCTACCTCATCAGTTCAGCAAGAAAAAAAGATCATTTAAGATTTCCCTTTCGAAGGACAAGGTTAATAAAATTTTAAGATATATTGATATATATATATATATATATATATATATATATATATATATATATATATATATATATATATATATATATATATATAATATATATATATATATATTACGTCATAAAGTGTATTATCAATGTTTTCTTTATTCCTTTCTCCTTTATTTTCACATACTTATCTTTACAATTTTTTTTAGGTTTAAGACTGTTTACCTGATTCCTACGGCAAAAAAGAACTTTAAAATGCTGTTGCCAATAATCTAAAGCCCACACCTGATCTAAAAGAAGGTGAATGACGTCAAGTGTTCGAACAGTCGATTTTTGAAAATTAACAAGTGGATGAAGATGTTTAAAAAAACTTATAATTTATAAAACATAGCAAACATATATTATTAAAAAGTTTACGCAAATTTTTATTTTTTACTTATTCTCAAAAAGTTAAGTGAAAACATAAGTTTTAATCTTACGTTTGAGTAAAGCCATATAAAGATAAAGATTATAGACGTCGAACTGATGAAGGCTAAATTAGGTTATTTAAAAACATAATTTGGCGTGTCCATTTAGCACTTGTTCTGAACGTCCTAAATTCACGTCTGAAAAACCCGTCTTTATTCCGTCCTAAAAAGACGTCCTAACTACGGCCTAAAAAGACGTCATCTGGCGTTGCCAATTAGAACTAGTTCTGGACGTCCTAAAAAGACGTCTTTTCGACGTGATATGGGCGTTGCCGTGCCCACTGGGTACGAACTTGTATGTAAAATGTTAGATGATCATGCATACTTAGCTGTAAGCAAATACGATAAACACTGCTAATTATACAACTTAGACATATTAGAATTAAATCCAATTGTAAAATTAGAGGTATCAAAAACATTCCCACTAAGTCACAATAGAATGTTTTGTTTAGTAATGTAGAGGGATACATACATGCTTTAATG